TTTATATATTTGTCACTCATACTTTTTCGTAACAACATAAAGACGTCCTTGAGAAAAATTGGTAGTGTGCGAATTAGTAGGATGAGTATTTGTCGGATTTATCCAAAATTTTCTGAATTATCAAATAAAAACAAAACTTCACATGTATCATATTATTAAATGGGCGACGATATGTTGATCTAAAACGTGACACAGTATTTAAACATCATGAGAAATTCCTAATCGGCATCGCAATTACGCAAAAGTTAACTTAAACTATAAATAACTTTCTCAACGTTTTAACTTCCTAATTAAAAGATAGATTAACTTTTTAGTTGGATAAAGGTTACATTTTCTGCACCGATATGCAAAATCGCGTCAATCGTGCCACCATTCCCATCATAATGATACGAACGAACAAAGTCGTAACATAATCTTGACGAAAGATAAATTTCTTATCGAAAGAGAAATTAAAATTTCTAACCATATTGATAACAATTTTTCGCTGAAAGATGTTAAATTTGACTTCACTTAACTCGGTGCCAATTTTGTTACCACATTGTTTAGTGTGTTCATTCATCACCCTGAACTTGGGCCACGCATAGTTTCTTTCTCTCGATCTCTCAGGCTCTGATAACTAATAAAGTTTGGTTGGAATGAGATGAATATGGAGGAATATGAAGAAGGAGGCGAATTTGCATGGAGATGAAAATATGAAAATAACCGGAGGGATTACATCTCTCTCGAACCTCCGTGGCAAAAGACGCCGCATGAGGAGGCGGGATAAAATAACAGAGTTTATAATAATATGATAAACTCGAAACATTTTGGGAAGAAAAGTTAAGAAAATAAGAAACAGAAGCAGTTCTAGGTCGCAGGGTTTCAAAAATTTAAAGGGTACAAAAAATTATGCGGACTTGGTTCAAATTTGAGAAATCTTGAAGTTTGATCTTGAAATTTGTTTTCTCTGCCTCTTTTGCTATCTTGTAAATTTCAGTGGATTGATTTATTATGTGCATAGATTTTTTATGAATCGGCTAAAGTCTTAAGTTTGTTGAATTTTCTAGATTTTCCAAATTCTTCTCATCTTTCTGTTTGGCGATAACTCAGGATCAGTGTTTTCACGAGAATAACTTACGGAATTCTTACAAACCTGAGAACCCTGTCATGTTACTTTCACATGTAGTTTTTCATGTTTCTTTGTCATCTCGTCCTCCAATCTCCCGCTTTATGATTTCGCTTACTTGGGATTAGTTAGTTAGACGAGATATGAGGCGGATATGTAAATAGGTGCTTCCTCCTTTCTTCCCACATTTTCTTTTTCATTCTCAACCTTTGTCAAGATTTCGATTATAATTCACAACAAAAACCCCGCTCCTCTCCTAATTCTCCGGGTATTTATGAAAAGAATTTCAGGGAAAAATTTTCCGCCAAGTTAATTTTAAGTGATTTGATTTATTTCTAAAATTTTTCAGTTTTCCACGTAACCTTAAATATGTAAATGTGTTGAGCTTAATACCCAGAAAATTTCAAATTTCACTCTCCATTGACTTCATTTAAAAATCCTGGTTACACGAAATGCCAAACTCGGTCCTATTTATTAATTATATTCCATTCTAAATATTCATAAACGTTTCGGTAAATTTTCCTCCCGCTAACTAAACCTAAAGATGGTCCTGTTATGTGGAGAAAGTTTGGCCAACTCTTAATAATTACGTTCAGAATACTGTACGCAACTTAAATCGTACTCGTATACGATTTTAGGGTATTGGTCACAATTTGCTGCACCAGTGAAAACTTTGTTACCTCATTGTTTAGAGTGCAGTAAATATTTTGAGGTCGGGATCGACCCTTTGTCTCCTGCAGAAATTGTTCCCGCTTTGCCCACTGAGATTTATTTCACCCTTCACGAGTCATACTTTCTCTCTTGATCTCCACCCGGGTCTTGCTCGGGGAGACAACTGCCACCCGGGTATTTAGCCAAAAAGTTGTTGTCTTCCACACTACTTTAGTCAACAAAAGCATCCGAAGCAAACTTTCCAGTCAACTTGGTAACTTACCAGCCAGACAAATGCCGACACCGCTGCGAGCCAAGTAAGGGGAGAGAAGGGAGAAAGCAGGAAACTTCCAGAGTAGCGACAATATTGTGAAAAGATGTCGAAATAATAATCGAATACCCAATTTTTTTCAAGAACCGATAAAAAATAAGTTCCCCTTTGCAACTTAGGAACTGTAATTCCAGAAATCAAATGAGGAAACAAGTTTGAAAGTTTCAAAATATAAAAATTATCAACTGGCTTCTAAAAAATAATTTACCAATTTGAAAAAATCTGATAAAAACTTGTATGAACTATGAAAAACAAAATTTGACTTCATATCGTCTTCACAAAAATCGTTATAAACAAAATTGTAAAGTGAGTGTGGAGTTTGAATTGACTTCACCTTCTTCTATGCGACTCGCACGATTTGTACAAAATTAAGCAAAACATTCCAAATACACAGCTCCGTCCTGGTTAAGCTCACTGGTTCACTTTCACTTCAAAAAGTGTAGCAATAACAAGAATCTTGTCGGTGTCATGCAGTTAGTTAGTTAGTTGGTACAGGAGAGAAGACTTTGTTTCGTTAGCATGTGGTCGGGATTTGGTCTCGTTTTCCTCAGTGAAATGAACGCCTTGGGTGTTGTTGATTTTCGCTACTTTCACTCCCAACCACCCACGAGACGATACAACTTAGGACAAAAGCATAAACTTTGTCGTTCTGTTTACCTCTTCGTAACATGTGGAATTAGTTCCATTTACAACTAGAAGTTAACTAGGATTGATGCATTTTAGTTGGTTTTTCCACCCTTGATTTCACACAGGTTAGGGAAAAAATTATGTGACGACATTTAAATAAAGTCATGATTGAAGGGTTCTCTGAGAAAATACATTACGAAAAATAGTAAACATCCAATTCCAAATAGTAGACAAATGAATGACACTGGTAACTTTTAGTAGATGTTAATTACTTTAATGAGTGTTTACTGTAGGTTATTCAATTTTCTAAAATAGTCAGTTTGCATTGCTCCAAATTCCAAATCTGAAAAGATTTGGAATTTGGACGCATTTGGACGCAACGAATCGAGTTGAATGGATTTAGTCTCCAAAAATGCCGTCAAGAAGAAAATCGGTAATCCCAAAAAATTATGATATGATAAACACAGATATTTAGTGCCAATTAAATTTCATCGTACATCCTTCGAACATATGATCCTAATAAACAGCGACGTAATTTCGAGATGGCTCACCGCGTTGTTCGAGTTTCGTCGAGAAAAGGAAAATATTTTTTGTGATTTTGAAAAAAGGTTAGGATCGAGACGCTGTCTTGTTTTTTCAATATTTCAGTATAATCTTTCCTTATCCATTTCACCTCTTACTTTCACCGTCCTCCGAGAAACGTATCCAGCTAGAAACGCCTGTCCAATCTAAAACTGTTCCTTCAAGTTTCTCCTGCTGATTCGATAAGCCAAACAGAATTGTTGGTGCTCACGTATAAATAAATTTAGTTGAGACGATCTCTCTTATTGTTTCCACTCCGCTTTCTCTCCCACTTTCTCCGCGATGATTGTCTCTCTGTCGGAGAGATTTGGCCCATCGTGGCTTAGGCCCTAAACTCGTGTAAACTTATTTCCTCTACTTCGTTTACCCCAAATTTATCTCGCAGCTTAAACTACTCTCCAGCAACTACCAGTCCGTTCCTTGGCCAGGCACATTTCTGGATAAAACAAAACGACAGGGTTTCGACTAACGTGGTAGTTTTTACTACTGGTGTTTAATATCAAGTCAAAATATTGAGGGTTCAAGTCTTTGTCGGTGCAGACCTTGTAACTGGTGTGATTAGTGTGAACAATTGTATTTTCTGCGCAGCAAGGACCAAGCTTTTATCATTTAAATGTTCCCAGTATTTTAAGCATGCAAATCAAATTTGAACTATTAAACTATGTAGCCCTCGAATGAGCAGTTAACAAGTTTAGTGAGACTGAAGCCGAAGCCGGGACAAGAATTAAAACCGGGTTCAAATCTATGTACGCAGGATATTTTGGTTTCTAGATTTTTCACTGCGCGGAAAAATTGGTGAAAAAATACGCATGTACGACACCCTAGCACAACTTATCTGCCTCTCTGCCTACTTTTTGCTAGGATGGACTCACACTACAAACAACAAGTAGGAGAGAAGAACATCATTTACAATTCGTTCCTTATCTCATCTAAAAGAGAAAGGAGCAGAATTTGTCTGTTTTGTTGTAATCTTGAGGAGGAGAGAGTAAGAGGGAAAGCGAGTTGTATAACCGGCTGTGGGGATTTAAGAGAATGGGAACGATTTGCAAGAGTTAATGGATCTCCGTTTGAAACAGAGAGGAAGAAAATAACAAAATTGTGGGAGAAAGTTGATATGTACCTTGCTGGTCGGCAAGCAGACGAATTGAACTTTTTTCTCGGTTGAATTTGCCTCTGTATTTTTGGTGAGGAATTCACATTTCAATTGAACAGTGGAACACCAGGATCAATATTATCGAAAATTCGTATTACGTAAATCATGGACATTTTTTATAATTAAAGAAATTGGTAAGCAAGTAAGCAAGTAGGTGTTAATTTTTTAGAGACGTTTCTTCAAATTGGATTCGTCGAAAAAAAACGAAGAAAATAATTCATCCAACGTTTGATATACATTCATCTAGGTAAAATATTTCTAATCATCCTTCTTAAATTTCGGTAACAGACGGATTGTCTCCTGTTTCAAAGTTAAACAAAAAACAGAACGCAGAGATTATATTTTCTACTTAATGTTCAAAATTGATTAATTTTCCAGAATCAATTTCGACCAGACTGGATCTTTTGTGTAACAAAGGTGTCATAAGACATGTATTCAAAATTTAGCATAATTATACAGACGATAACCAAGCACGAAGCAGGAATGTTTATCACATATCTGAAGACTTATCATTTATAAATAAGTTGCATAACAAATGGTACGAACAAAAATTGATCTTTTTAATTGCATTAGTTCCTTTATTAAATACATACGTAAATTAATATGCAAAGGTGAATTATCTCTGAATAACTCCTGTCACACGAATATATTATCTGCTAATTAAAATCTTCGAATGGAAAAACTGGATTTGTTATCTTGCCATTGTATTGTTAATTTTAAACGACAACACAATTTACATAGTGACATCACCCATGATCACTGATGTAACTTTTGTTATAAATAAATCAATATTTTTCATTTAATTTACAAACACGATCATGAACTTTGTCATCATGAATGACAGTGAATTTTAGCTTATCAAGGTTTCAAAATCTGTATGGTGAGAAGGACCATAATTATTGCAGTAAATGTGTTAACTAGTAACCCCCGATATTTGCACTAATCCAATTGATAAAATGCGAAACTTCTGTATACATTCCGGGCACTGTGATTTTCATAAAAGAGTTGTTATACTTTTGAAATTCAATAAAATATGAAGTATTGATGGATTCTTACTGTTGGGCCGAGCACATCCGTAACCTATATTTACAGGTAGTAAGGAATATAAAGTTACGATAATTTAATATGAAATAGAACTCAAAAATTACCCCAAGAAACGATGCCAGACTGATATGGCTGAGCCAAATCGAGTGCCATTAATGGGCCTTGATTATAGGCAAGTAATTTATTTTTTCAGTAAAATGGTACATTAATCTGTGATGTTTATCCCATACATATATTGGCATACCTCCACTGTCACCCCTAAATAAACATAAATGTTTAATCGTTGATAAATATAATTTTTATGCGCATTATTGTTTAGCATATTGCTGCACACTTACTGACAAGAATCGTTCCCACCGGAGGGTCTATAATAGGCGCAAATCATGGAATCAGCGACTTGATTGGGATTTCCACCTAATTCGGATCTACACGTGGCATCGTCAATAATGTGAATCGTTGTCATTTTAAGCTTATCGGAAAGTTCGGATGCTCCCTCTGCCTCAACTCCCCAGCCAGACACGGGAGCATCTCCTGCGCAATTTAACGTTTAGATTTTGTCGTTCAGTCATCCGGCAACATGGTATTACCAAATGCTTACTACATATATATTCCGCCATGGTAATAATTTGTTACCGAGTCGTAGTACATTTGTAACCAGGTGGTACATCGTAATTTGTCACCACACTGGTAAAATTCAACCACTAAGTAAAAAAAAATACCACCAAAATGGTACTAAATTTACTACTAATCAAGAATGAATTATTACGACGAGGGTATAGGTCTCAAGAACATGTATCAACCTCATGGTAATAGCGTACTACCGAATTATTCACAGTGCTTTAGTTTATGTACCAGTTGCGTTATGCATTGCAGGTGGGAGGTTGACAGTTTGAACGTAATTGTTGAATTGGAAAGGAGGGTCCACCTAAAATTTCACTCACTTAAAATTGCCAATTTGGCTAATAAAATGAAAGTAAAGATAGGCAACTTACCCACATGAGGGCAATATCATTCACAAATGTACGGTCATTATATCCAGCATGTAACTTTTTATGGAACAAAAAACACTAAGAAAGTGTTACGGATAAAATTAATTTCTAATTTAGTACCCGAAGAGCCGTAACATTTCTAAATTGTTCGGTCGTATCGTTTCCACTGAGGGACCACTCCCCCGCGACAACGACGTAGGGATCGTTTTCATATCCGTACAGACAATGAGCCGCAGTCAGGATTGTGTTGCCGTTCAAGATGCTGAATACAAATTAATGAACTTAATCTATATTACGTCACAAAAATTAATACAACTTTAAAAACTGCACCTCCCACCGCAGAAATGGGAGTCCCTCCATCGAAGACTGACCTAAAAAAATCATATTCAGAAAGAACTTCAAAATTTACTGCAAGCATTTTTGACTAACAATGTATGGAACTGTTCCATGCACGACGACTTCACCACCCACTATTCTCTCATACTTTGCTCGATCTACGTATGTAAATATTTTCAGGAATATAAAAAATAAAATTTATTTTGAGTCCATTTTTCGAACCGTTGAAAGTGCTGGCCGCTATGGAAGCCAGCGATACCAGAAAAATCCCGACAGCCTTCATAATTACTGGAACTATGCAAGTGGATGGAAAGATGGAATGCCCGAACTTGGAACTTGTCCCAAATACTTAAATATAAAATTAATTTCGTCAGTTATTTTTAGCATGAAACTTATCAGACAGATGATCAATTATACTTGATTTGATTAGTGGAATTACATAAAAGTTTGTCAATCAATAAGATAAAAATTGGCATTTTTGGTTGGATCAAGTAGCTATGTCCTGATATTTATGTGTGAATGTAACAGTTTGAGAATTGATTACGCTTTATTAAGTAATATTTTTTGATACATAAATGACATGAATAATGTAAAGCACAGAAGATCAACTTCCTACTTGAAACAAATGTTAAAAACTGATTAACTTTCCAGAGCTAATTTCACTGGATTACTCATTTCTATTATTTCTGTTAACGGTAAAATTAAGAATCTCAAAATTCCAAAGCAATGCACAAAATGGTAAAGGTTCACGACGATAAAGGTTTTCAGATTGATTAGGTCTAAAAGATTAATTTTAAGATATATTTTATATTAACTGGAAGATTTTTTATGCTTGCTCTACAGTTCATTATTTTCTTCACCTTTTCACGGTTACATATTTTAGGAGATCTCTTATTTCAAGAATTGTGAAAGATTCCTTCAGTACAATCGATATAAGAATTTAATTATAAAGTAATCCGCATTTCGCAAAATTAAATATTTGAATTTTTCCTATTAAATTCGATCTGCTAAACATTCATTAATCGTCTCTTTGTCTTCGTCATTAATACAGAAGTATGATTAACCAGAAGATCCAAAAGTCTTAATCTTTATCCTGAATTTTTTAGTTTGAGGTTTATGTACACAATTCTCACGTATGGATCCCCCAAATCTGCATCGTCGTAGCCGACATTAATCATATAAGATAATAGTCAGCTCATCCCATAAAGTGTCTGACTCCCCCCTTTCCCCACGCCAAACTTATCCTACAAACTTTAAGCCGACCAGACCACCACGGCAGGATTTACTTTCACTCGCCGAGGAAACTAAACTTTCTCGGTCCACGAGGGAGGCAAGTTCGCCTCGCCGTCATCGCCATAAACCAGACCAACTCCAGTAAACAAAACAATGGGAACGAGGTTTGCATATGGGACCAAACAGTGGTGAGCATTTTCAGAGGTCAAGACAAACCAGATGCATCCTTTTAAACCAAACTTTAAACTGGTGAGAAATCACGACCAGAAATTTTACCACAAGAAATTATTTTCCAGAAGTTTTGTTTTGTTGCGTGTTGTACATTCCTGAGGTTTTTTTACAGAGTATTTTTATGGTTGATGAGGAGTATGTTAGATGATGATTATGTAAGACGAGAAATGTCAAATCCCTAAATTATCATGCTGTTTCATTAAAAGATAATGAGTCGAATAAATTATTTCATTTGCACTGATATATTCATTTTGCATGGGTACAAATATTTGCAATATTTAAGCAGAATAACGTGGAGAAATTATAATGTCCCCATCGCCTTATTTACAACGAAGCCCTCGAGAAATAAATAGTAATTAAATAAATATAAATAAACATTTTTTTCAGAACTTGAAATCTTTAAAAAATTAAAAAAAATACATATCAATATAATTTAATTCTAGATTGTACTGCTTGAACACGGGCTACTTAGGTAACATAAAGACCCAGTCCATCGTACATTTCGCAGTTGAATCTGAATTGTTTTGCAGTAACGCCAAAAACTAAATATTTTCGTCTCAAAGTATGAACTATCGACAAAAAAGGTACAATTTTCCCAAGAATAATACAAAAACTGACCAGAAAGTCTCCCCTATTTTTCCAGCGTTACTCTCACCTAAATCATATCATGCACTTACTTTCACTTGAATGAAAGTGAAGTGAAGTGTACTTTTTTGGTGCCGACGGGTCTCATCCTCTCGCCCCTCCAAATCAACTCATTCGCACCCACTCGTCACCCTTCTTAAAGGTCGTGCAGAAAGTGTGTGACCACTTTCCACAAGTAATTTAATTTAGTGATTACGAATGTTAGGCACTCACGTAGTGGAATTTCGATTATTTACATGAATAAATTAAAATTTTATTTCAAAGTAGGACCACACGGATGTTACGCTTTTGCCGAAATTGTCATGTCTATAATAAACGCACGGTTTATACAAATTGCTCCATCTTATTTACACCGAATACAGTAATTTATTAAGAAATAAGTCCTCATTTTGATCACCCATCTCTAAATGTATTTATATTAGACGCTTACAATTTTGTCAGAAAGTTTCCAAAAACTCAGAGTGGAAAATACTCTTCGGTTTTATCTTTTCCCCTCCGAAAATGAAGACATTCCCGTCAGAAATAAACATGGTCATAATTCATCTCCTTGTGTATTAACAAAAGTATCGATAAATAAGCAGGAAGGAGAGCATCATCAACTTTTAGTGGAATTGAGCTCCTCAGTTGATTCATTCACTGCCCTGTTTTGTTGGTGGACTGGCCATTAGTTTCTCCCTCTTCGTTTGATGGTCAGTCCATTCCACGGTCCGTGACTCACCCGGAACCAAAGTGAAAGTCGAGGACGCGGATGAAATCAAGCGAGTGAACGAATCCACTTTCTCTTGATCAACACAAAGGCCACCAATTTCTGTCGTGATATCAATGAAGCAACCAACTCGTGCGGAGACAGACCACGAAATTCATAACGAAGGCGAAGAATTGGGCAAAATTTGGACCATTTCCGGTCTTCTCGTATCATCATCAACCCCAAGAAAGCTATGTCTACGAGTACATCTTAGGCTGACCACACCTGAACATGCATAAATAATGTCACCACCATCACGTGACGTTGGCAGATCAGTACTTAAACTTTAAATTTTTTCACATGTATTCATATGAACACGTGAAATGCATGCTTTCATTCATTGATGTGAAATGAAGCTTACCCAGCCAACAATTCGGCCAAAATTCTTTGAAAGAATTCTGTACGAACAGGTCGAAATTATACCGAGCTCGAAAGCTGCCAGAATTCTTGAAGAATTCGATACGATTTCACTGCGAATTCGCACAGAAAAATCTTCAACGAATGTAGGCCGAAAGGTGACCGAAATTCGTTCCGATTTCTTTGTGATTTCACTCCGAATTCTTAAAAGAAAATCTTGATCGAATTTAGACAGAAAGATAGCCCGAATTCGTCATGATTTCTTGGAGATTTCGGTAATCTTAATTAGAGTGTACGAATTTTTAAGGAATTCTAGCTAAGGCCGAAGTCTGTTCTTCGAGGTGGCCATGAGGCCACGCAATTTATTACTGCTCTCCATCAGACAGAAACAGGATTTTAAAGAACAACTATAATTTGGAAATTTATCTGAGTAATAAATCCTCTCTCCAAATTCGGACCTGGTAAGTATTTGATTTTGTAAAATGTTGTAGGAAGTTTTATCTCTATTTCGTTTTGCTTTTGGTAATTGTTCTTTGGGGTATTCAGATCACCATCGTCTCTGGAGGAGTGAGAGGATAAGAGGAAGTCGATGTAATTTGCAAGGTGCCGAAAAAATTGCTGACTGACGATTTATTGCCCAAATATAGTCTAAAAGGAATGAAGAAAAAGCTTTCGCTTTCTACGCCGGCGGATATCAAAGATGTCCTTTACAGTAAGTAGGAATAACTAAGGAGAATCAAATTATTTGTATATAATTAGGATAGATTTCTTCCCTTGAATTTATTACAATTTTTTAATTATTAGGGGGTGCAGCAAATCTGATGACCCCTTTTCTACCTGACCTTGCAAAATTTGATGACGGAATCTCGAAGGAGTTTACTAAGGCCCGTGATCGTATGTATACAAGCAACAAGTGAGTTTTATGTTATTTGCCATTAAATTTTGCAATAAAATTTTGCTTCAAATTTTTAAGTTTTTTGCTATTATCAATATATTGTGCAAAATATTTAAAACCTGTTTTAATTTCACAGGAAACAGCCAGTCAGCAACAACCTACCCTCGCCATCATCACATACTTAATTTACAAATAATTAGCTTATTTTTGTTATGGTCATCTAAGGCTTAGATTCTAAGCAATAATAAAATAATTCAAAAGAACAAATCATTTATCCAATTTTTCATTTCAATGTAAATCGTAGTGATTTCGGGCAGAATTCGTATAAAAAACATTAGGATTTCTATCAGAAATCAACACGAAGTCTTGCAAGAATCGCAAAGAATTCGTACAGAATTCGACGTAAAAATTCGTGACGAATCGTCAAGAAATCTGTACGATTCTGCGGACATTTCCCACCGATTTCTTCGGGATTTCTGTACGAATCGTCAAGAAATCGATCCCGAATAGGTCGAAAATTGTGGCCGAATTGATCCCGAAAACACAAAGAATTGTTGGCTGGGTACATTGATGCGAAGCCAAATAGACAAATCATTCATCCTGGGTCAAAGGTCGAAAATTCCTGAAAATCGATCACACTCTTTATGCACAGTGGTTGCCCTCATTCCAGGAATTGCTCACTCTTCCCAGGCAAAGAAAATATTTTCATAGGAAAGTAACAAAAATTCCGCTTGATGGGCGAATTCATTGTTGATTTGTCCATTAGGGTGAAAGCTCGGATTAGCATGTGCGGCCAAATTTCGTCATCTACGCGTTTCATTGTAAATTCAAGATCCAAATGCCCGCCGGTATTTGCAGGCTACTCTTCAAACCAAATTACAAACAGGGAAGAACAAAGGCTGGCTTTAATGGGGCCCGCTAAATAAATAGATTTGCATGTTTCTACTTCCACAAAACACCGAATGTCGTGTCGGATTAAAATTTAACCTCGTAATTTAAACATCTCACCCGGAAAACATGGGAGTGCTGAAAGTGCGAGGTTAGTAAACACGAGGTCGGATACGAGTTCACGGTGACACCAATAATTATGCTAGTAAATGTTTCACTTAAAGTCTAAATATATCTAGCTGGAAAGCTGTTGATTTTATTTGAAGTTCGATAATGTGGTAATTCAAGATTATTCATGCTTGAACAAAAATAATTTTCAAAACGAAAACTATTTTAGTTTTTGGACTATTTTAGTTTTTGGAGTTTCATAAGTAAATCAGGGCAGGTTGGACGTTCTAATAAATTTTTAATAGATACATTAAATAAACACATTTATTGACAGATTGCAAGTTGATGAGGCAAAATATAGCGTCACTAAATTGTAAATAAAATATTAGCGATCAAAATTTATCTGTACATAAGCTGGTCTATGGAATGCAAAATGTGCATGCACGTCGA